AAGAAAAATTTTATCCTAAGACAAATTTTAAATAAAAAAAATCTATTATTTTGAGATAAATGAAGTAATTACCTTTTTAAATTGTCACAAAATGATCACTTGACTTTTATAAAATCAACATTTTGTTATCGGGAAGTAAAACAACATTTGAAAAGCTAAACGACTTTGATCATTTATATATTGGGTGTCAATGAGATCTTGCACCTTAGCCTTGTAGTAAAGACTAAGACCCCAATAATGCATAGGGTAAATACTTATTTTTAGTCCTTTATCTTAATAAATTTGTAGATTTTAACCCCTCATCTTATACTATGATACTTTTAATCCTTCATTTATATGAATTGAAGAAAATAGCCCTTATTTAATATCTTGTTAGTTGGTTGTTGATTTTGTTAGTTGGTTGTTGATTTTGTTAGTTGATTGTTAGCATTCCGTTATACAAAACATGAAATTTAAATTCAATTTTATTTGTTAGTTCCGTTAACGGAATACTAACAGTCAACTAACAGAACTAACAATCAGCTAACAGAACTAACAATCAGCTAACAAAATTAACAAAACGTTATAATTTGACGTTAAGTAAGGACTAGTTTCTTCAATTCATATAGGTGATGGGCTAAAAGTGTCATAATATAAGGTGAGAGATTAAAACCTACAAACTTATTAAGGTAAAGGATTAAAAATAGGTTTTTGCCTAATGTAGAGGTAGTAACTTGTAAGTTCTAATCTCAGTTTTTAATCAAGTTATTCTTTCTTATTTTGATTTTTCATGATTATTGTATCTCCTAGCAAGTTTGAAAGACATAATTCATAGCTATGTTCTAAGATGCCAGATCCTCTGCAAGTTATTTGTCCATTTTTTAACTTCAACAACTTAACTAGAAAACAGAGATTTCCACACACATAAAAAAAAAAAAAAAAAAAAAAAGGACGAAAACTAGAAAACAGAGATGGGTCAACAAGAGAGAAATGTAGTTTCAAGTAAAATGCATGTTAATTCCTAGTTTTTGTGATGAATGGGATATGCTACCTTAAATTAAAAGGTTTACTTTTAGTATTAAAAAAGTGGAATGTAATTTATCCTGTGCGAATTATATTTTACTTAATTATTAATAGAGGCAATGAGATCTTTGATATTAAAAAAAAAAATAGTGTAGTCTATATTGACTATACTACAATATTCCTTTTTAACATTTAACTTAATAGTAATATCTAATGACAACTATGATTTTCCCACTCAACATAAGTAAATTAATAGAGGCATGTTACGCACCGTCTTTTTCTTTTTTATTTTTTTAACTGAGCTAATTTTTGGGGAAGGAAATTGGGAATTTGGGAGAAAGATTTGAAGGCTGCTCCACGAGATGAATTGCTGATTGGGGGAAGGAAAAGGAAAAGGAAAACACCCGGAAAGTCCTGGATCCAACTTCTCAAAGTCTATTTCTTAGAGAGTAAGAAAAAGCATCAGAAACTTTTGGGATGGATTTTAATGGATGGTCACTAAACTTTCCAAAATCAAAATTTTGGCCATCCAATTTATAATCCTAACAAAATGATCCCTCAAGTTTTATAAAAATCAACAATTTTTTGGTTAGCCAGCTCACTACCTTAATAAAATACTTCCTCATTCGTCCCATATTAATAGAACTTTTTTTTTTCTTCAAATTAATGATTGGGGACAATTTTTGTTTTTTCCTATTTTACCTTTTAAATAATAGTAAAAATAAATAATTTTTTTTATGATATGAAGGGTAATTAAAATTAAGAGATAATTATAAAATTAAAATAAAAAATATTTGTTTATCTTAAAATATAAAAAAATAATTATTATTACAAGATAAATTTTAAATGATATGAAGGGTAATTAAAATTAAGAGATAATTATAAGATTAAAATAAAAAATATTTGTTTATCTTAAAATATAAAAAAATAATTATTATTACAAGATAAATTTTAAATAAAAAATATTTATTATTTTAAACTGAATGAAGTAACTACTTTTAAAATAATTGTCAAAAAAAAAATTTTAGGAATGGATTTTAGTTTGATTGTTCAATTCATAGTCCTAACAAAAATGATCACTTGACTTTTAGAGAATCAACATTTTGTTGTCGGGAAGTAAAACAACAGTTGAAAAGCTAATTGAACTAGCTTTTTGTGGTGATATAAGTCATGAGCTAGCCTTGATTTAATTTGGAATTTCAATTCTCAAACATTGTTGGAGTTGGCTAAGCCAGCCTCCTCTCCTAAAACTATTCAACATTTGCAACGTCATCGTTGTTGTTAGAAGTATAGAGTTTCATGATAACATTCACACGACATAAAGTTTGTGTTATCCCCAAATTTGTTTTTAGTGTTAATAGTTTGTCAGTCAATAATGACGGCTTCTATTAAGATTTGGCTCTATGAGTAATTAATAATAATTTAGGAACTTCAGGAAAGAATGATATATGTAAAATCATAATTCTATTCCTCTATACAAAAACAACAACCTCCTCAATTGTCCGTTCTGGTGGTTCAATGATATTGGATTCTAGGTTAGGGTTATTCATTTTTTGTGAGTGACGTGTTCGAGTTTTATGGAATTTATTTCTCTTTTTCCTTATATATACCTATAAATAATGTTAAAATTGTTCAAAAAAAAAAAAAAAACCTCTTATATCGAGATCTTTAACTTTTTTTATTTATTTATGATTAGTTGTACAATAAGAGATAGCCGTATCTTATTCATTATCTCACCTTACCCATATATTATACGACTTAAACTCAAAATCTCTTATTTTCAGTGAAAAAATTTACCATTGAATTATTTAGATTGTTAGTTGAGATCTTTAACTTTGTTACTTTAGAAGGTAGCTACTCTTATTTATAAATGTTTTACATTTTTGTTACAAACAATGCGTGACTAATGGGATGGGTAATAATTTAAAATTTTGAGTGATATATGAGTTTTCAGTTTTATAGTTTAAATTGTATCATATTATAAAATAAAAAGTATTAAATAAAAATAAGTTTTTAATATCAAGGGACTCATTCTTATTTAATAGTTATGATTAATAATTTAATATAATTTAAATTACAATACATTTTCTTTCTTATTATATTTAAGTAAGAAATTTTAAATTTAAAGTGTATATATATAATATATGACAAAGATGAGTTGAAGGTTAAGTAATAATATATATTTAAAATGGGATTAGTGTTTCTCCGTCTTACCTCCAAAAAATTAGGAGGAAAAAAGACAAAAATAACCTTAATGCATACTTTAAAAATAAAGTAATTTAATCTTTTTTAATAAAAAATTATTGAAATGACATAGTTTTAGGATGATTTTCCTCATAATCTTTAGGAGGTAAGTCTGATAGGCACTATTCTCATTTAAAATAATATAACATATAAATGAGATAAATAAATGATAAAAATGATTACCTCTCTTGGTGCAATTCAAAATAAAAAGATTCCTATGCATGATTTTTGCCACTCACATATATTTTGTTTTTGGCATAGTGAAATTGATTTTTGAGAAAGTGGTCTATAAATGACATAGTGGGATTGATTACTAAAGGCTTATAGTAGAATCAATGAATTAAGTAATTCAGTGATTATTTCTTTTCGCTGGAAGTAAGAGATTTTAAATTCGAGTCGTATGACATGTGGATGAGATGTGATAAATAATGAAAGATGATTGCCTCTAATAATGTAATCAAGATAAAAAAAAAAAAAAAAACCTACAATGGAATTGATTAGTAGAGGGCTATTTCATACAGTAAATTATTGCCCAGTTTGGTTTTCATTGCAAAAAGGTTAAATGCTTAATTTGGTCCCTTAACTTTATGAAATACACATTTTTGGTCCCTCAACAATTTTTTACACTTTTTTGATCCCTTAACTATACAAAATGCACTCCATTAGTC